ACCAAAGACTTCATCGAGGGACATATTTTTTCAGACAAAGTGCCCCAAGACAGCCCCCAGATATAATATCAATGGAAAGAGCAAAATTAGTAGAATTCCAAAGATTGTTCATTTAGCTGATAGCTTTCCTCTTTTAATTGTCATAGTCCACTGAAATCATGGTATTGGCCTACATGTAACTTTCCCCATCGTTTCGCGATAAATTCGCTTATGATTTTCAAAAGTTTAATTTTCCAAATAAATTCACCCAGACCTCCCCATATATGGTTCTTATATCACCTCAGACTATTAATTTGACTGAAAGATTTCCTCTTTTAATTGTCAAAGTCAACTGAAATCATGGTATTGCCCCTACTTTCCCCTTGCGTCATGATAAATCGCCTACGACATTTCAAAGTTTCATTATCCAAATAAATTGATTCAGACATCCCCCAGATATGGTTCATATATCATCAGCAAATTGAGATCACCTTTGACTATTCATTTGACTGATAAGTTTCCTCTTTTAATTTTAATAGTCTACTGAAATGATATAAGGAAGGCATCATTGCTCAACATTGTACAGAAATGTTGTACATTAGATGTGTTTTTTACGTAAATTGCGGTTGAAAGGTGGGTAAATCACATTTTCTTCGTATTTTTTTCATTTTTTCCAATTCGAGTCAGAATTTACCAATCGATGAATCATATTTACAGGGTTTGGCGACTAGTATTCGAGTCCACGAGTCAATCATTGCTCCACTACTGAAATCATTGTATTGGCTCAAATTTTCCCTGGTGTTGTGGAAAATTGCTTCATCATACAAATAAATTGATCCAAATGTTACCCTGACATGATTAACGTCATGTATAAGTATTACTGGAAAGGGCAAACTTAGTTGATCACAAAAGACTATCTGATTACTGTGTTTTTGAAACTTTGCCATTTTGAAATTTTTTGGCTATTAATTTTCTTATTCAAAATTTCATTTTCATTGGTTCGTGACTTTTCAAAAAATGTCCAGCCTTGCTCTTTAAATAACCCAAATCAATGCATTTCAACTTTCTCAATGATCATTAAAATAAATTTCTTTCAGTTGCAGAGTGAGAAAGTAGCAACCAGGCCTCTTGTTCCTGCTGACTGTACCTGTAAATGATGCTAACTGGAAGGCAATGATACTGATCTGCCATGTTGCAGTAACATGTGATTCCTGAGGTATGTGTACAATGTTAAATAGTGATATACAATAACACTGCCTTACAATATTAAAAGATTAGGGTATACTGTTAGTAACTCATTTGCCCAAGCCTAATAAAATAAATCTCCTAATGTACAGTTTGGTGTTATCATGACACCACATTTAACACTGATTCAAGAACTAGATTCTAAAATGCTTTTATATTTTCTGAACAAGATCTTTTATTGTGGTTGCAGGAGTCAACATCCTGGAGTCCATTGCATTGAGCCCTATGGCTCTTTTCTACAATATGATATGATCTGACCTGCTGCAATTTCATGATACTGTATTACAAACAATCTTTGAGGTATGTATATGATATGTATTAAATTAAAACATAGAATACATGATGATATGTCAATGCATGCATGATACAGGTATGAGTTCTTATACAGTGTGGTCCAGAAACTCTTTCCTTTTAATGCTGTGACTTCAAATTCCGGGCTTCAATTCTGCAGCTGCTTGGGTCTAGGTGTCTTGAAGTCCTTCAGCACACATAGTTAATTTAAACCAAGTTTTATAGAACGTTTAAGACATTCTAAAATATCTTTGATTATTTCTCATGACAGTTACTATACTGAGATATCATTTGTATTATTAAAAGTGCTTACAAGACTTAAATATCAAATTTACGTAGTATACAGTAGTGGTGCAACTCGAATGCCAGTACTCGCCACTCACTCGTTGAACCTGTCCAAGATAGTTACTCGAGTACGTTTTTTCAAACTCGAGTAGGCATGTTTTATTATGAAGTGTTTTAAACCCCGGGAATGATGATTTTTTTTGTATGCACTGAACGAAACAAAGTATCGATTCCGGAAACAAAATGAAAATATTTAAAAGCAAACAAACAAACACAATTATGGCATGAATAACTACATTTATTTTCACTAAATTGATACAAACTATATATAACATCAATAACATTTAGAAGCAACGAAGAAATTGTATCTATTTGGTCTTCAAACAGTCGACTAGGTGAGTTTTTTATTTTTTTAAAATTTTTCCCTCATTTTTGCGAGTGGTACTCGATTACAGTGGCATTTTCACACTTTCTACTCGAGTAGCATTTTTCTTGCGAGTTGCAACACTAGTATACAGATCATGATGACCTTGACAAACCAAAACTAATTATACATACATATTTTTATCATTAAATTTTCACAAATAATCATTTTTTCATTTTCTGAATTTTTGTGGACTGAACTGCAAGTATAAGGAAAATTGAATAAATAGAAAAATGTTCCAATTTTTATTGGCCCACCCTGTAGCTTCATTTGGTTGAAAGACATAATATGAGCCATAAAATGTTCATAATTTTCATTTTAATCATGATTATTTGTAATTGATAGAGAAAATGAGCTAGTATGTATTTTCTAATACTAATGCTGTAATGAAACTTATATTTTCAGTCATGATTGCATCTTTGAACGTTGGATGAGACTGCTACAGGGGAATGCCCATATTTTGGAACTACATCTTGCAGCCCTGGTCTACAATAATTAGTACATTTCTAACTAGGCTAGTTATCCCATCTAACAAAGTTCGGAGGGATATAGGGAATGCCTCCATCCGTCCGTCTGTACGTACGTACGTATTAAAGAAGCACATGGCAGCCATCTTGAAAAATGGCTGCATTTACTCGTTATTTTACAATTTTTGCTGTAACTCCAAAAGTAGTGGAGCGATTTTGTTCATATTTGGTATGTGAATACTATAAGCATGGCACACTGTCTAATGACACTTTTGGTAGAAGGTGGCCATTTTGAAAAATGGCTTCCGTTTTTTTGCTATATACTTTGTTTGTAAAAATGCCAGCCATGGCTGTTCGATGGGATTTGATATGCTTTGGCGTTGCTGTTGTCTAGTTCTCCATGCAGTGGCGTAGCTACGTGTACGCCAAGTACGCCGAGGCGTACTCTCAAATTTTAAGGAAAAATAAAATTTACCTGATTAATTGTGATGAAAAATAAATATTTCACCAAGAGATAGAATCGATAGGAGACTAATCAACAGACCCCCCAGCCTCTTTACCCCGATGTCTACACGTGTTTGGTCCAGCTGCTAACATTGCCAGTATCCACTTGCGTGGCTGAACGAAGCTTTAGCAGTTTGAAACGCATTAAGTCATACTTGCGTTCCACAATGAACGAGGAAAGACCTTCTTCCTTTGCCATGATACATATCCATAGGGAACAGGATATAAACATGGATACTGTTATTGACATGTTCGCAAATGCAAAAAACAGAAAGATAGAATTTATTCTATAGAATCACGTACAGATTGTTAAGATCCGAAATGGAGTTGAGACGGTCGTGTAACTGTTCTTTTATTGTTAATCATCTTGTGA